TGATTTAACTACCATTAGATTCGTCTCGATGAGCTCTACAACTTTAATTAGAGACTCAAATATGATTAACTTAGTACGAAAAAAAGTTTTCTTTGGACAATCACTAGAAAATTTCTACTTTCGCATCTATCGTCACGTTTCACTATGATCATTCTACAGTTGACTGGAGAATCGTCAATTAAAATATAAGTTACAAAATCTTTTTTATATATACAATGATCTTTTAATACAGCTGAAGACTAAAAAACTCTGTATTAAATAAAATCATATAATATAATTGTACTGTATAATTATAAAAATTTTTATCATTAATGTAAATTTGATTTATAATGCGAAGATATTTCATTCAGATTTTATTTTAAATTGAGTATATAAAATATATATACTCTAAGCAGAGCACAAAATTCTATTTTAAAATGCCAGAGGTTCTATTTAATTAAGTTGATTTCTGATCTGACTCTAAGCATAATGTTGCTGAAAAATAACAAAAACAGTGTCTGATCTAAAGTGAATCTCTCTTGCCTGTGATTAATCACAAATTAAATTATTTATGTTGGATTCAATTGTGATAGATATAATCTTTTACCAGTTTTAATATGTGTAATATTAATAGTCTCTGCTAAAAGCTAAAAACTTATATAATATATATTAATTGCTTAAATCAAAATATTCTCAAGTAGAGGTATAGATATATTGTTGTAATTGGTTATGACCTATTTTAAATCAGATTTTTTATATTAAGGTGATTAGGGACATAACAAAAATCAGGTGATTTTTTAGAGAAGAAGGGGGGATAAAAAATTTTAAAATTATATATAAGAACCTGATCAAATTATATATTAAGAGAGGGAGTAAACTTCTGATAAAAAAAAATCAGATGATAAATGACACTGCCCTTATGACTTAATTTTAACAATATATTTGCACCTTTAATTTCAAGTATTGCAATTATAATAACTATAATGTATCACAATTAATAATAATATTTATAGGGAGCTAGTTTTTATACCTCCCAAATTTATTATTCATATCCTCCTGCAGATTTAACTCTTTTTTAAACTTTGAGCAAAGATATCTCAGTAATTACCAAGCCAAATTTAATAAACTTTTTTTTTTGAATTCTATAGATTCATAGAATTCAAATAAAAAAAAGTTCATCGAATTTGGCCCAGTAGTTACTGAGATATTTTTGCTCAAAATTTGAAAAAAAATCAAAATATTTATCAAAACAAACAATGCATAATTTTCTTTAACTTTAAGTGAAGATATCTTAGCAACTACTAAGTTAAATTTGATGAACTTTTTTTGTTTGAATGCTATAAACCTATAGAATTCAAATAAAAAATAATTTATTAAAATTGTCTTGGTGGTTATCAAGATATCTTCACTCAAAGTTTTAAAAAAATTCAAACTATTTATTAAAACAACAGCTGTACTAAACTTTTTTACTAACTTTGAGTGAAAATATCTCGATAACCAGCAAGCCAAATTCGATGAACTTTTTTTGTTTAAATTCTATAAATTCATAGAATTGAAACAAAAAAATGTTCATCGAATTTAGCTTGCTGGTTGTTGAGATATTTTTACTCAAAGTTAGTAAAAAAGTTTGGCACAACTTCTGTTTTGATAAACGGTTTGAATTTTTTTTAAACTTTAAGTGAAGATATCTCGACAACCACCAAGTCAATTTTAATAAAATTTTTTTTATTTGAATTCTATAGGGTCATAGCATTCAAACAAAAAAAAAGTTCATCAAATTTGACTTAGTAGTTGCTGAAATATCCTCGCTCAAAGTTTAAAGAAAATTATACATTATTTGTTTTGATAGACAGTTTGATTTTTTTCAAACTTTAAGCAAAAATATCTCAGTAACTACTGAGCCAAATTCGATGAACTTTTTTTTATTTGAATTCTATGAATCTATAGAATTCATAGAAAAAGAAGTTTATTAAATTTGGCTTGGTAATTACTGAGATATCTTTGCTCAAAGTTTAAAAAAAAGTTAAATCTGCAGGGGGTATGAATAATAAATTTGAGGTATAAAAACTAGCACCCTATTTATAGAATTAGATGTTTTATTTTCATACTCATTACTATATCATCTAAAAGATCTAAAAAATTTCTTTCAACCAATGTTAAAGCTTTAATCTTAGTTACGTCAGCTCTTCCTTTTACTAATTTTACTAATTTTAAATTTTGGTATAACTTAATTATCTGTTAAATATAGAAAATATCTACCAAAAACCTTTCTGTTTTGGGTCTTTACTAATTTAAATGAGTAAAAAATAAAATAACAAGAAGAGTTGTATTTATTATATTAGAATCAAGGTATCGATTATTTTAATTTTTTGGGTCTGATAAAAATTTGCTAAGAATTCATTATTTATTATGTTTGATATGTAAAAATATAAAAGTAATACTTGAGTGACTTTTATTAATAGTAAATTTTAAAGAAAAAGTAATTAGATAATTTAATTACTTATTAAGTACAGTTAACTCTGGATATAACGAACTTTTCTATAATGAATTCTAGATATAATGAACTCGAAATTTTAAAATTTTATAATATATAGTTTGATATAAAAAGTAGTATAGATTTTTAAGAAAACATAATTTATATAATGAGCTTTTTTTTGCTAGGATCTTCAGTTCATTATAGAAAGAGTTGACTGTATGTATCTTTGTGAAATATAAAAAGATAAGTATATAAATTCTGCTACACAAGTATGTTCATCTATTTCTTTAATAACTTTTTTTTTTATTCTACTAGAAGCTTATTATAGAAAAATTTGTGGTTTTTTTTTCTTTTTTGATTATTTAATTGCTTCAGAGAATCAATGTTGTCATTGTTAATATTAGAATAAAATATATGATTCGATAGTTGTTCCAAAATGATATATGTTTGTTGATTTAAATCATAATTTTTTTGACCCCATCTAGAATTTGTGCTAAAGTTGAATATGCAGACTTTTCATGAAATTTGCATTTATATACATATGAATTATTTGAAAATTGATGAACATGGCCTTTAAAAATAGCAATAAATAGGCTTTTAATACATAGAACTGATAATACCTTTTTTTTCATCTTGGCAAAACTTAATAGCAATTGGCAGTGAATCTGTTGAATTAAAATATTTTTAAATTCATACAATGTTCTAACTGGGATTTTATCGAGATTATTATGTGCTACATTATATTTTTTAATAATATTATAATGTTGTTTGTATCTATTTTTTGATTTAAAATTTCGAAAACAGACAGGACAAGAAACCAAATCAATAGAAGTTGAACTAAATGATAAACTCATTATTTAAAAAATGATTTATTGAACATCTATTTATTGTTGTTTTATATTTATTTATTGCTGTTTTAAAAACAGCTAATAAAAATTTATTTATAAATATATACTAGTGAATTTAATTATTCGATTACTTTAAACATGTTGATTGAAGATTGTAGACACTCATTTAGACATCATGTTAAATAATGATGTTAAATAATGTGTCTTAGTAGGCTTAAACAAATGGTTTAGACAATAATTTAATGGGTTTTAAGATAATTTAATAGGTTTGATGCATATTCGTTATATCTTTCTTGCATAATAGTGCAAAATAAACCCTTAATCAATCAAAACAATTACCCTAATAATTCATCAGACCAATAAAAAAAGATTAAATAAGGGGTTTATACTAAATTTAGTGACCCATTCAAGGCCCAATTGCAACAAATTAGCCCATATGAATAGATGTTTTAATGCTTTTAAAACTTTGACCAAAGATATCTCAGTAACTACTTAGCCAAATTTGATAAATTTTTATTATTTTGATTCTACAAAATAAATTAAGTTGGACAACCATCTGGATATTTTTACTCAAATTCTTGAAAAAGTTTAAATTCTATAGGATATAATGCATCAAGAAAACTGCCTAAATTTAGAGTATAATCTGCGCCTATCAAAAAAGTAACCTGAAACTTTTGCCTTCCCGACAAAAGTTCGCAATTCCGGTTGGTTGATTTACACAAAAATGTCACGTGGGTACATGGCTTTATACGACCCCCTAATTTGGTAAATTCCCTGACTGAATTAATCAATCAAAAGAAAGTTAGCCTTTTAACAATGTCACGGCCCAAACCAAATTTAACTGCGGTTCAGCCCAGTCCACAATATAAACCAAAATTTCGGGGCATACCTCTTTGCAAAATATAATCAAAAAATGGACCAAGCCGTATACGAAGTTCTTTCACGCGTTCTTTCACCAGATCCCAATGTACGAATGTCGGCTGAGCTAAGACTGAAAGAACTAAGTAACGTTCCTGGTTCGTCAAAGTGATTCGATTTATTACGTGTTAAGACGCGTTGGCTGGTTTACTTTTAATCTATTCGCTATAACTTGGTAATAATAAATTCATATAGAATATCCCATCAGCCTCGCCAAAATGACTATCTCACAAGACGTGGACATATCATACCGTCAAATATCCTTTAATTCTTTCGATATAACAATATCACAAAAACAGATTTGAAGTTCAATTCTTAACTATTTTTTATTTTTTTTTATTTTCTTTAATTACTCTGCAGTAATTAATTTAAAAAATTATGTGGTTTCGCATTGGTCTTCTACCTCAGAAACGTTTGCAGGGGTAGAAGCTACTGATGAGGTTTGTCTGTGAAATTCGTTATCAGTTATAAAAATGGTTAGTCTTTTAAAAGATTTGCTTGGTATGAATCATGTAGGTAAAAGCAATTGTACGCGAAATTATATTCAGTGGATTGTCTGATCCATCAAATAAAATCCGTGTTGCATCGGTATTTATATTTATATTTATTCTTAATTAAACGAAGGATAAGATTAATGCTAATATAACTAATATATAGGCATATGTTATATCAAAAATTGCACATAATGATTGGCCTGATTATTGGCCTGACCTCTTAGACTTATTGATATCGCTTTTAAAAACCGGTTCACCAGAGCAAGTGCATGGTGCGATGAGAGTTATGACCGGTATAGCCAATTTTACTAATTTTTTTGATTAACACATCATTTGCGAAATTATTGTCCTAAAGAATTATTATATATTATAAGAATTTGTCACACACGATATCACAGAAATCCAATTTTCTCAAATTGCACCCATATTACTACCCGAACTATTGAGAATTCTACGATCCGATCAAGTGAGTTAATTCTATCTACGCATAAATGAACAAAGATATGTGATGAGTTACTAAGTTTTTGGAAAGGTTTATTCTTATAGAACGCGTGGACGGTCCATAGCAATATTCAGACATTGTATCGAAATACTGTTTATATGTAAAGAGGAACATCCCGAAGCAACAGAATCGTTTCTAATGGCACCCGTCATTCCAGATTGGTTACAAATTTTTATCACCATTTTGAAGCAACATACTACAGACAATGAAGAACGTGAATTTGAAGAGTATGGTTTAAAATTGGAAGTCGTCAAGGCACGGATAATCTCTAATTTTTGCATTAAATTATGAATTCAATGGAATTATCATGATGTTATTAACACTTTAATTAATTCCAATACCAACTTTTAGTGCTTAAATCTTATTATTAAATATTTTCCGAAATTACTTTCTTCATATTTGATCGCATTGTTGGAACCAATATGGCTAGACTTGGTTCATCAACGAGAAAGATATCCTAATTTCATTTGATAATTTAATCGTTTAATGAATTTTAGAAATTCCTTAACTCTTGTGTTTCCGCTTAATGTGACACATTCATTAATAATTTCATTCGCCCTTCAAGTGACTTTGTTAACACTTGTCAGGACTCTGATGGTGAAGTTTTTGGCTTTGAATATTTGCTCTTTGCTCAATTTGAATTCGTCGGTCTTTCTGTTAGAAAAAAATCAGCAAAACCGCTTTTTGTGCAAAGTAACGGAGAGAGCACATTTTTGAAACAAGTCGTTTGGATAATTTTATCTTATATGCAGATGACTAAGGAGCAGGTTATTAATTTATTTGTATTATATATTGCATCATATATTGCATCAATATCAAATTTAACATTAACTTATTTTCAGGTTGAAACCTGGTTAGCAGATGCTAATCAATTTGTTGCTGATGATGATGATGAGACATTCAACTTCACCGTTAGGGTTGCGGCAGGGGATCTCTTAGAAGTACGCTCACAAGAAAATTTTATCGTAATTAAGCTTATATCTAAACATAAATTCCTTTATAGATTTTACTTGAAAAGTTTCCTGAAAAAACGCTGCAAGCTCTCGCTGAAACAACACAACACCTTATCGAAGAATCTAATATAGCTCGTGCTGCAGGTGACAGTGTATGGTGCGTAAAACATTTAGTCTTTGAATTAAAATAGACTTTCACTTTTTTTATTCTTATTATAAATTGACTTATGGCTGTTACTGGATCATTCTTATTAAGAATCTGCTACTCTATATTTGATGGTCTTCTATTCGGGCCTACGTGTATTACTTCATATAGGTGGAAGGTTCAAGAAGCTTGCCTTAAAGCTGTAGGATTTGTTTCTAATGAACTCACAACAGCTTTGCAAGATAATACTCCCAAAGTTAAATTTGACCTGCCTGGACTATTCGAGCATGTAGTTTTTGGCCATTTGACCGCAACAGGTAGGTGTGAAAATTAATATCTTATAAAAAAATGAAGTCAATTAAATTTATTGCCTTTTTTTCTTTGAAGAATATCCTTTCCTTCAAGGGCGTGCATTTGTATTCGCCAGTCAATATGCAACACTGTTACCTGGTGAACTTGCATCGCGCTACGTATCTGAAGCTGTCTGTGCAATCCAAGGGATTGGTGCTATACCTGTGAAAGTATCTGCTTTACGAGCATTGCAGAAGTAAGCATAATACTTAGATGTGTGTATTTTTTCTTTCATAATTATTTGCATAGTAACTAAATTGTTCTTAGTTTCTGTCGTCATTTGGACGTTCAATATGTGGCACCGTTTCAATCCAATATAATCGAAAGTGTTGCAAATCTTTTGAATGTTGTATCAGAAGACTCGCTAATACTCGTATTAGAAACACTTGAAGAAGCCATCAAAGTATATTAAATATTAATCATAAAATTATTGTTATGTCATGTAAATAATAAGTTATCTTTTTAGATCAATAATGAAGTGACAGCTCGGTACGAAAGCTTGATAGGCCCGTTAATTATTGACGTCTGGATGAAACACCCTACAGGCAATATTTTATTTTTGATTTATAATCATTGTTACAATGTCATCAAACCTAACTATTAGTTTTCTTAGATCACACGATTTATCCGATAGTAACTGATATTTTTGAAGAATTATCAAGCAATGTGAATGCGCATGCCTCATTTCAGGCTAGAGCCTTACCTCCTTTGGCCAATATACTGATTAACAACACTGATTCCGCCGTGACTGCAGTATGTTCTATAAATAATGTTACAAATAATTGAGCTGATTCTTGTATTTAACGTAGTCTTAAAGTATTATGTTTTTTAGTCAGCAATTGATTTAATCGCAAGTCTTGTAAAAGGTGGACCTTCACCCCTTCCATCGCCATATATCGAACATGTATTTCCGCCCTTAATGCATTTGATGCTGACAACTGAAGATCGAAGCATTTTGCAGGTTGTATTACAGTGTTTTTGATTTCTTCATTGATAAATAAACCTAAATATTTCTTTTGAAAAAATAGAATGGAGAAATTTGCTTGAAATATTTTGTGCAAAAAGATTGTGCACGAATTGCTGAATGGTAAATATGGCTTTGTTTTTTGTTCGTATTTATGATTTAGGCTATTTATTAAATGTTGTTGTTGCAGGACTGATGTGAATGGAAAGACAGGCCTAGATTATGTGATACAATTCATCGCAAAGTCGCTTCAGCCAACTGAAAGTGAATCTGCGACATTTTTAGGCGATTTGGTTGTTAAGCTGATCGAAAAGGTGCTTATTGTTTAGTGGATAATGTTTCATATATTTCATTTAACATTCTTTTGCACATTTATTATAGGGAGGGAACAGACTTTTACCTGTTCTTCCGGAATTACTTAGGGCGGTCGCAGTGAAACTGGAGAGCGCCCGTACTGCCACGTTTATACAGGTATCTAATCTCTAATTGTCGAATTTTTCCTGACCTCTAGCTTTATGTTTTATGAAATCAACAACCTAATATTTTTCTTTTTACGTATAATAGTCTTTGCTTATGATTTTCGCACATTTGGCTCTTAGCCAGAAATCTACTGTAGTAAATTTTATGGATGAATCGGTTATCAATGGTAGAAATGGTCTTGATATATTACTTAATACTTGGCTTGAAAACCATGATAGTTTTCAAGGGCACTATAATATAAAAATAAGGTATATATTGTTTCCCAGTTGACTTATGATAAATAATAATATTTACTTGTGTATAATTATGCAGTGCCATTGCATTATCTGAGCTTTTCTTATCCTGTGATCCGAGAATACAAAATATTAAAGTTAAAGGTGATTTAATTATAATGCCATCTTCAAGTATGTAAATCGTATTTTATTCATGCTCATTAAATGATTTTTATGTATTAATCCTTTGCATACAAATTCTGTGTTGGATATTATTCTATTTCATTTGTTAGAGATAATGACACGCTCAAGGACTCGTCAAAGTATTATAGATTTTTTTTCTTTGTTAGTCCTTTAACAAATTCTTAGTAAACTATTTAAACTATTCTGTAATTATACGTTAGATCCGCATCAATATGTTTATATTTCTGCAACTATAAAGATTATCAAATTACTTTTATCAGATCTTCAAAATGCAACAGAAGGAGACAACCTAAAGCGTTCTGAATTAGATGATATTTTAGACGATGAGGAGGCTATTGAGACTGATGATGACGTAGGTGGTATCATTTATATTCACAAGCATGACTTTACAATTTACTGATTACTTAATAGGATGATGAATGGGAAGATGTCGAAGAGCCTTCTCCATTTGCTCCTTCGGAAGATTACATTGTCCTTTCAGGTAATAATTTGTGTAAATAATTTAGCTTATCAAACTTTTAAACGTATACTCTGCATGTAATAGAATTTAATAAAATACGAGAACTTGAAGACTTCGAGGATGATCCTGATATTAAAGATAATCAAATTTACCATACCAACCTCAGAGTGAGTTATTGTATGAATGCTAAATGGATTGTCATGTGTTTTTATTAATTTTAGATTGATATATGGCAATTTAGGAGTATCTGGTAAACTTTTTCCGTCATTGTGCTTCTCATAATATAAACAATTTTGCGGAATTATGTTCGGCGCTTAACGACGAAGAACAACTTAAATTACGCTTTGTAATCACTAGAGTTTAGAACCGGGTATAGTAAACCGGGTCACCCGTGTGTCAAAACGGTTCATCTGGGTCAAAAATTTACAACTCGGGTCAAAACGGTTGAATATGTAACCTCTAACAATCTGTTACTAATACACAGAAAACATAACAAAATTTAACACATTATAATTGTATTGTGAATAAACACCCTTTTCTTTTACTAATTTATCTAAATGTTCAATCCCGCTAATCTGGATTTAAAAAAAAACGTTACAAACTTTGGAGGCTATACGGACTATCTATTGTTACGAAAATTTTAAAAATTTTCCTTTATATAAACCTTCATTATTATTTTTTTTGCTAATATGTAATACTCTTTGTTCGATAGTACTCCGGTAATTCGTAGCGCGTGAGTGGCGTGATCGTCGATAACTCATAGAGGGGGATCACTAGGGTTGTTAATGGAGTACGTACTCCAGACTAATAGCTGCTCGATACGTAATTATCGAGGCAGCTTTTGTCTCGAATCATGTGCCCCAGGATCGCCAACAAAAGGGGACCATCTACGGACACGTACCAATTGCACGTACCGAACTTTAGGGTTGGTATTTTAGCACGTGATAGGTTTTAGATTTATATCTTCCCCAGCATCGGCACCAATTTTTTTTTCGATCACGTGATATCGACAAAATTCTTTAGAGTTCGTTTATGTTAGGATTAGGGTTATAATTAGGGTTAGAAAGGTTTGGCATATTGTAAAATTACCCAAGGAATTTTTTTTGTTAGAACATGAAAAGCGGTTTATTAAGCAAAATTTTGAGTAAAGAGAGATTTTTTGAAGACGAACGTTTTGTTTTGATCTTCATGATCGTGTTACGTTACACCAAGGCGTGATTTATTATTGGATAATTTCACGTGATCGAAAAAATTTTATTAGTAATTTGGTGGCGATTCTGGGGAAGTTTAGATTTATAATGGGGAAAGCTACCGGACAGTCTACGGACACGTACCAATTGCACGAATAGATTAGTGGGTCCACCAAAATTCAGCAAATCGGCCCGAATTTTGGGTCAGGGATGGACCGGAGCAAAGTGGCATTAAGCAATAATACCGGTCGACTATATTATAGCAAAATTATCATTTGGGCAGCTTTACTTAGTGCATAGGCTGCCACTTTATTAGTAAAATTTGTGGTGATTTTAGAAAAAATTTATTAATTCCGGCCTATTCCGACCCAAATTCGGGCCGTTTGCTGAATTTTGGTGGACCCTCTAATCTACTCCAATTGCACGTACCTGACTTTAGGGTAAGTATATTGGCACGTGACAGGTTTTTGGATTTATAATAGGTACGTGCAAAATCACATGAATTGGTACATGTCCGTAGACCGTTCGGAAAGCTACGGACACAACATTCACGTGACTTACCGCTTATCGGCACATCGACCAATAAGAACCTAGATTATTTTAACGTGACCTTAAGCCAATCAGTGTTATGTAAATCGATTATTTAATATCGATGTTCAGTTAACATCTACTACATACGTAAATAATTTCAAAGCTCATAATTAACTAATATAGAAATATTAACAAGTATGACTTTACAAAATATGAAGTTAATGTTAAAATTAAAAATAAGTAACTGTTAAATGTATTGATTTATTTAACTTTAATCAAACATCAAATTGATTTTATGTTTGCATCTAATATATAGTAATTTAATTAATACATGGTATAATCATAAATAAAGTTATACAAATAGCTTTGACCAGTAGTCAACAAGATCGTCTTTGTAACATATTAGAACATGTTATATATTAACTATTGGCCAGTTCACTTTTGTATAACTTTTCATATTTACATAAACAATATGGTTGTTATTAATAAAATGTAAGATAATTAGATTTTTCTATGTATCGGTGGTGATTCTAATAGAAAAAACAACATACTTTGTTTATTTTGCTCATTGAAAATAGCAATAGGGACAGAGAATGTGTTAGCAGTCAATTACACACAATCAAGAGAAAAAAACCAAAAAGAAGGTGGGTATAGTGATGCTTTGCAGCTCAATATTTAGTTAAGTATATCAGTATTATAGCCCAGCTAGTTTTTATAAATCTTTATACATTTGGTTAATTGACCATTCATAGCCAATTTAACAAGAATCCAATTCTCTTCATTTCTTTTAATAGCAACCACAAGTGACTGAAATCCACAATTATCATCACTTTTCGGGTTAAAAATCTGGTCTATATCATTGACAGGGATTCGAAAGCTTAATTGAAATTTTTGCTTTTAGACTAAATAGTTACAAATAATGTTAAATAATAATAAATAATATTAATTGAAAAAATTACTACAATGAATAATATTAATTGTATAAATTATTTTAAAATTTACATTACCTTCAATAGAAATATTTTGTAGTAAATTATTATTTTCATTTTAGATTTTTTTAACAATCTTTACCTTTTTCTTCTTTTCTGCTTGTTCTATGAGTTCTATAGCAATCAGTAATCATTTTGTTTCAGAAGAGCAGCCCTTTCTTACAATTTTTTCAGGAACTTTAATTTCAGAGAAATTAATTACAGAAACCGCAAAAATTTCATTAAGTCTCTCCAAAAGAATAGATTTTTGCTGTTCATCCAAAAATCCCATATAATGATTTTCAATTTCATATAGTCAGGACTTAAGTAAAGAATGATCATCAGAATTAGATAGTTATTGATTAGTTAAGTCTTGCACTTGATAATTATCATATAATTGGTTTTTATCAGAATATAGTAACTATCTTGTCAGAATTATAGATAACATTACAGAGCCTTTTGTTAGAAGCAAATGCCTACAAGGTAAATTATAATTGATGCGTAGTTCACAAAGGCATGCTTCATATGTAGTTGCTTTGAGAAGCTCATATTTAATTCTATCTAAAGCAAACTGAGCCACTTTCTCTAAAAGTAGAGTCAACTGTTCTTTATCATTATACATTAATAAAGGATCATTGCCAATACTTTCACTTTTATTTTGTAAAGAACTCTCCTCTGATGTAGACGTAATCATCTATCTAAATAACTAAATGATCTTGTTAAACTTCTAGAAGTTTCTAGTGCATACTTTATTGCCGAATGTGTGCCCTCAACATGTTGCATAGTTGTCACACCAAAGTGTATAATTCTACTTGTATAAACACCAACTTATTTCTCTCTGATTTTTATCATTCTTAAAAAAGTTATTTGATAAAAGCTGTGGTTATTAAACAACAATAGTTATGCTATTGATATTATTAGTTACTATACATTAAAAATAAAATATAATTATATTCTAATGTAATAATCCCTTTTCATTATAAAAATCTAAACAAGTTTTGTAAAAGTTATTTGGTTTACTAATAAAAATATATAATATTAAAAACTAAAAAACTTGAATATTAAATAAAGGAATTTTTTTAAAAAAATTCTATTATAATACTTACCTTTCAAGGTATTTTAACACTTCATTCTTGTTCAAACTTGATGAGGCCAATTTATTATAGGCCAATATCACAGTATCCAATGTTTCATAGTCTTGCAAATAAATAAACCTGTTTATAATTTTAATCATCTCGAATGAATTATCATTAAAATGATTTTCAAATTTTTTTTAAAATTGTTTAAAATGTGCCAGGTGCACAAAAGGTGTTCAGACTCAGGAAATGTTTTTCTAAGAACACTAATAAGTGTGGCATCGTTATCAGTAACAAATATACAAAGAAAAGTATCAAAAAAAATCAAGGAGGCAAGTTTTTCAATAATCCAAGTATATGATTTTTCAGATTCATCTGAAATTCATGCATCTACTATTTTAAATGTTTGCAATCGATTAGTTCTGAGATTGCTAATTCCAACAAAGTTTACAAATGATAACTTGTAAACATTTGTTTTGTAGATTGCATTGATTAATATTACTTCGGAAAAACGTTGAGCATTTTTAACTAATTCCATATAACAAAAAAATAAATGCTTAATTTGTCTGTCTATATTTAAGTAGTATATAATAATATTATTTTTGAATATAAATAAATAAATAAATAAAATAAATAAATAAAAAACCTCCTTTTATAAGTTTCACGCTGTACAGTGTATCCTCTGTCTTTTATACCTATTATTAATGCACCCATTGATGCTGCTTCTTCAAAGGAATGAATTCTTGCGCTTAAGTTTGATATATCCTTTTTTGTAGCAGTTGGTGTTTCATCATCATTTCTAACTGCATCATAAACTATATTAGGTTTAGCTACAGCTTTTAACATTTTTACAACAATTTGTCTTGCATCCCGTGTCAATTGACAATGCTCATAGAAAACCTGAATATCTTTGGCCATATTATGGTTATGTTTATTCACAATCTCTGTAATATGCCATTTAGAATTATCCAGAGTAGCTTTCAACAAATATAAACATTCACAGCGTTTAGTCATTTTTTTTCTTTTTCGTGTATCTATGGTTAAATTCTAATTAATTTGAGGTTTATCACTACATTTGCATTGAAGATATAAATGCTAAGAACTGCTACTTTTAACTATTATTGCATAACCTAAATTTCTGGCATTTTCTTGAGCAGCATTAATAATATCCTTTCTTGTACTATAATATTGCCCAACCATTATTGAAGCTGATAAAAAATGTATTAATTATTATAATAGCAACAATATTTATACTTTATAGAGAAAAATTACTACTTAAAATATTTTAATTTTTTTTCTTACAAGAGACTTCAGCAACTTTCTTGTTAAACCTAATGCTTTCTTCCTTGAATTTGCATTCGCTAATGTCATTCGAAGTTGGTTGATTGAACAGATCAATGCTGTCGCCCAAGGCAGTGTTGTACATGGGACAGTTGGGACATGAGTTGGGACATTTTGGGACATTTTGGGACAATTTTTTAAATTAAATTTACTCAAAATTTTAATAAGACAATCTACTTTAATTTTTTTAAAAACATGCTCAGCACTTAAAAAAATATATAATTATATAGTTTTTAAATTAATTTAGTAATTATTAAGATCTAGGGACAGTTGGGACACTTTGGGACATTGGGACGTTGGGATGTTGGGACACAGCAAAAAAAGCTTGGGACAGTCCAAATGTACAACACTGGCCCAAGGTACTATTCAAGTTATTTGTATTTTCAAGATTTCTCATATTTGTTATGTCTTTAAAAGTAACTAAAGTTAATGCAAATAAACTAAAGTTAATGTAAGTAAACTAAAGTTAATGTAAGATATTCGAAGTTAACTATGTAGATCAAATACATGTTAATCATGTGGATAATTAATTGATGCATACTGTAGATAATCGATTTACATAATACTAATTGGCTTAAGGTTACGTTAAAATAATCTAGATTCTTATTGGTCAATCCTGTTATGCTAATAAGCGGTAAGTCACGTGAATGTTGTGTCTGTAGCTTTCTCCATTTATAATAGAAAAATATATCAACACAGTATGCACGTAACTAATTCCATATACCTTAATGCTAAACCTAACTATAATGCTGGCTATGCTGTGTCAATTAGTTTAATTCTGATCACTTTGCTATACATTAAGTTACATGTATGCTGTGTCAGTATATTTCCTCTTATAATAGATACGTATACAATCACGTGAATTGGTATGTGTCTGTAGACAACTAGTAGACTAGTGGTAGCAGAAATAATTTGCTATCACGTGATCGATGATCATTTCCAATGTAGATTCTGACCTGTATTATTATTGTAAATTCAAACTTTGAATAAATATTTTTTAACAATAACCTATCGCTATTAACATTCAACAAAAATTTTTTTTTAAGAAGTTTTAAAATTTACTTTGAAATTTTTTTCATAAATTTAGATAAACCATTTTTATAAAACTCTTGTATAAAGTTAAAAGAACAGTGTAACATAATAATCGATAATGATAATTAACTCTCTAACACTAAGTGTAACTTTAAATAACTTCTTTTAACTGCAACTTACAAAATTCTGTCCCAAGTATACTTTCAATCTCTATAAATATATTTTTCTTAATTATTTTTTAAATGTATGTTGCTAAATACCTAGTCCCAGCAATTGTGCTTAGAGAAAGTTAACTATATTAAGCTATTTTCTTCTCCTACTCAATAATTTACTGTAGTTGGGTGTGGCGACTTAGTGAAGTGGTGAAGTTGTTGCACCTCCAAGCGGCAGAACAAGAGTTCGAATCCCACTAGCAATGAAATTCGAATTTAAGGAATGTGTTACGGCAGACTGTGTGTAATCTGATGGATCATCGGATCTGTAGCCTTG